TTTGTCCTTGTGACTCTTTATCCTTATATTAAGTATTTAAATTTACCTCCATCTTTGTCTTTAACTTTATTTTAATTTTCATCTTTGCCTTTATCCTTTTCTTCATCTATGTATGTATTCAACTTTACCTTCATCGCTTGTACTAATTTTTAACCAAATCGTTTTATTCAACCTCTGCTTAGCAGTGCTGTCGCTGTCACTCCAATCGGAGTTTTTCATTCTAATTTATGGCCAGTCTTTCAGTGACAGTTTCAACTTAGATTAACTACCTAAACTAAGTTTAAATTGCACAGCTGGCTAATCTGAGTGTAAACCAGCCAGCTCGGGCGTTTAAACTAAGTTGAATCATCACTCTGTCGCTCTACTTTTTTATTTATTAAAAAGAAAACCCAATATATATTTTTTTTACAAAAAAAAATAAACCCTATGTTTTTTTTTAATTCTCATTTTTGTTGTTGGTGTTTCCGACAGGGTAGGAGTGTGATGTAATGTGGAACGATTTTCCGTCATCCCTTGTCAAATTTGGTTTGTCTCAGAACGAAAAATGACACTGAAGATGGCACAACGCCGAAACCGTTTTTTTTTTTAATTACAAAAATTTCCAAGAAAAATTGTATAATATATAGTGTAGTTTTGTCAAGCAGTTTTTAAAATTTATCTGCCCTTTAAACACATTTTTTTTTTGTCAGAACAAAGTGTGTTGTTAGAAGGCAGATAAATTTAAATGAGAAAACGGCCGTTAGTGATAAGTTTTAACAATATGCCGAAATTTCAAAAAATCGTAAAAATTTAACTGTGTTCGAATTTAACTTTAAAGAACTTTTGGAGGAGTGAATTCATGGAATCCTCATAAGTGACTTTTTACAGCCTTCAATTTCCGATGCATTGTTTTAAAACGACTTATAAAATTTCAAAATTGAAAAATAAAAATATTTCGTTTGTTATTTGTCTGGAATATAGAAATTCGCGACATCTTAATCTTTATATTAAGCACGATAGTAACGCTTTCATTTCAAAAGGGTTTTTCAAAAAAATTTTAGATTTTTTGAACCAATCTAATGTGCACACATTCTTAAGTAGGTAAAAAAAAAAACAAATTCAAACAAATATATGATTAGTCTCGCAATGTTTGACATCACTCCGGTGTTGCACTACATTTTCTCTAGTGTCACTCCGAAACACTTTTTCTAAATTTGCACCCCGATCAAACGATAGCACCGCTGCTTAGCACCTATCATAAATCAGGAATCAATATTAAAGCAAACATTTAGGGGGCATTTCCGTCCCAACCATGCTCATGTATGGCATTTGGATTGGTATCAGAAACACAACAAAAACCACATAGAAGCAAAGTTTTGGGGGAATGTTTAGTTATTTGCACGGTTCAAGCTTGTAAAAAGTCACACCTGACGCCTCGAAACCTTCCACAAACCCCTGGGGAACCTGTGGAAAATGGTCTTTAATTAGTGTTTTGACACCGGAAAAAAATAGTATTGCGCAGAGCTTCTTTCTGCGTAGCCGGCCTTCAGCCGCGCTTAGAGATTATAACCCTTACTACGTAGAATTCTCTTTTCTGTGTTGTGTATGCTACCGGCCAAACCCGTTCTTAGGACAAACTAGTTTTGCCTAGGCTTAACTAGATCAGGCTCCACAGTATTTTTGCGTAGAACATACGGTTGCCAGACGTACTGATTTTATCAGTACAGTACTGATTTTTCAACTCTTGTACTGATTTTATTCATTTCTTCAATCAGTACGCTAATGTCCTGATTTTTCAAAATTTGACTGATTTCTACTGAGTGTTCAACTCAAACAAAATACATTAGGATTTTCTTAAGGTTTTTACATAACGTTGGAACTTGCTTAAACTGCGCTGTAAAAAATAAGAAGAAAATAATTTAATTATAGTTGACGTGTTTCAAATAGTATTTGATATGTCCAAGAAAATAATATGCAACAAAAAGATCAATCGTTTTATGGGCACATCGCCGTGTCGTTACGTACTAGTTGAGATAATATCGAGCCCTAACCGCCAAAATAACATAAGCGACACTTTTTTCAAAATTTTATTTTTGATGCAGAAATATTCCTAGAGCATCTAGATGCATTTCTGCATCAAAAAGAAAATTTTGAAAAAAATGTCGCTTACGTTATTTTGGCGGTTAGGGCTCGATATGATGGAGCTTAAATTATTTAAAAAGAAGGATGACGTTTGTTTTCGAGTGTTGTTAGTTATAGGTGCAATCCCGTATTCCTCGGACTCGGACTAGTAAAACTGTCAAAAAATAAAAATTCGCTCAGAGCGAGAGAGTAACATTGAAAAGTACGGGATCGTTTTCTAGTAAAAAATGGTAACTTCTGTCAACTTCAACATAACCTCCGAATTTTGGTTGTAAATTTCTGCTAATTTTGTATGTAAACACACTCAGCCCACACATGTAAATAACCTAAAACACTTTCAAATTCATTAGAATCCACTTAAACAAGTAATTAAATACTTTTCAACATGAATTAGCAGAGTGCACTTTTCTTTTGTTTACAATTTGGTTGCCAAACACACTACAGCTGATCGTTTGACACATTTACCAGAATTTACCAGCAAAAAATTCTCGGACTAAAACTGGTAACTTCTGACAGAGATAGACCCGTATTTACTCTCTTTTTTGTCCTCTCAATAGTCAGAGAACCGAGTACGGGATCGATTTCCAGTGAAATCTGACTGATTCTGACTATTTCTGACTAGTCCGGACTCGTACGGGATCGCAACTTATGTTAGATAAGCATCATGCCATCAGCTGTTTTTCTTACTAGCAAATAGTTGCTAGTAAAAATTTATCCAGTAAAAATCCAGTAAAACTTGCAAGTTCAGCTGTCATTTTTGTTCTCTCAATTTCCCCTCTTTTGCTAGTTTCTTACAAGTTTTTGCGTACGAAAACGACATCCAGTAAAAAACCAGTAAAATTAGTACTGGATTTACTGGATAATGCGTACGCGAACAGGGCTTGTTATTCACATTAACAAAATAATTGTTTGTGGTGCTTTTAGAGTTGCAATTGACAAAATAAACCCATTTAAATATATAATAAGATGGAAAATACTAGTTTTCTAAGAAAATTGCATCGGAAAATAACAAATAAATGAGCTGTTCATAAAACTAGCAACTTCTTGCTGGTTTTGCGTTTTCGTACTTTCTTGCATATTTCACTCATTGGGAGTAAATATTGACTTACTCTCCGAAATTTGGTTACTGGCAAGTTACTGGATATTTTTTGCTGGAGAATACGAAAACACAGCTATTATCTGTTACTTAAACTCATAATTTTGCTTTATAAAAAATTGTACTGAAAAGTGCTGATTTTTTTAGCATGAAAAAGTGAAATGTACTGATTTCGTGCATAAAAAATCTGGCAACCCTAGTAGAGCACTTTTTCGCGTAGATGTATCGGAGCTGGAAAGAACTAATTTAGCCTAGAAAAAACTAGTTTGTCCTAAGACCGGGTTTGGCCGGTAACATATACAACATTTTTTGTACATATGTGTAACTCTGGCTACGCCATCCCATTATTTTTGGGTAAAACTCACTCAGAAATTCACAGAAATTGGATATTTGGGAACGAATTTATTAAAAAATTAGTGACCGAAAATTTTCAAGTTAGGTTTAAAATAAAGTTTAGACCCCCTTGACTATAAGTGTGTGTAAAAATTATTTGGACCGCGTCGCCCATTCGGACACATTAGCCCGAAATCATTTTGCAAATAACTAAAGCCAAGCTCTGAACTTTTTTCTTTTCGTCGTGCCCAAATCGCAGACTGTCGCGTTTTGAGAGTGAAAAAGGTTAGGGGAAGGATTTTACAATATTAAAATAAAATTGAATGTAATTCCGAATTTCCACTAGGCATTAAAATGACAAAAAGTTTATGTTATTTAAAAAAATGTCATGTGGAAATGGACTTAATGGCCGAATTTCTTTATTCATTCTGAACGTTTGGAATAAACTTTTTTGTTTACTTATTCTTTAGAACGTTCCTGATGATATGTTAACGTATATTTCAAAAGCATTCTGTTTATTCCGGCTGTGAAATGGGATTATCCGGAATGTATAAAGAAACGCAGCCAATGATTATTTTTTAGTGTAACCAAACGATTATTTTTTAATGCACGACTTTGTCATTTGTAATTTTTGCCATTTAGTGCCTAGTGGAAATCCAGCATTAGAAAACAAAACATATTTGATGTAGAAAAGTTAAGAATCTTAATAATCCGAATCCGATAAAATCGGAAGATGTGTGCATGTCATCGTTTCCGAAGCGGTAACGTCTGTAGTAACAAAAACGGTGCGGATTCGGTACGACAGAATCGCACAGGTGTGTGGATGTCTTTAACGGCCGGTTGTTCAATGTCTGGTTATCACTACCACTACACTATCGAGGATTTCGACATCATCAGTCGTTGTACTTAACCGGAGCTTCTACCTCCGATGTGCTAATCAGACATTGAACAATCGGCCCTAAACCTTGAATTTCATTGTCAATTTTCTTCACACTTTTCCAAACAAAGCCCCACTGTTTTCCAGCCGCAGCGCCATCTTACGACTAATGACAGAACTAACAAGTTTTCGTTTCAAACGGCAGATGTCGCAACCATAGGTAAACTGTCAGTTGCTTTAACATTTCTTCACTTTTCTGTTTTGATCGTTGTGGAATTTCATTATCATTTAATTTTTATATTCGTGTGTGTTTTTCACCGTATTGTGTTCATTGGCGACTGGTTTGAAAGCCGCCGACGTCGCTTTAATTATACCTGAACAAATCGGAAACTTTCCAAAACGCATTTGCATTTCAACAAACGAACTTGGTGCTTTCGGAAGCGCTTCATCAAACATCACCACAAATAATCTACCTGTCGTTACCGTTTTGGTTAATAAAAGTTTTCTTCTTGTAATTTTATTATAATTTCTCAAAATGTCCGGAATTCATTGCAATGGCGAAATGGCGCATAGCTACTTCAAGGCCACTGCCGCCGCAGCTAAAGCATCATGTCAGTCTGGAGCACAAATGCGTCTGGAATAGAGAATGCTTTGGGTGCACAACAACAGCAACAATTCAAGGCAATTCATTGCACAAGCAGCAATAGTATACAGAGTGCTAATGCAGGTAACAGCAGCGGTTCCAGCAACAATCACGCCTGTAATCAACACAGTAAAATCTTAGCCAGTCAAAGCCTCACTGCAATTGGAAGTCTCGCACATCTCCATAATATTAATCATTCGCCCAGCGGCAGCGGCACTACAAGTACTTCGGGAACAGGTTCAGGCAGTACACCACATTTGGGCCAACATTTCCACACTTCTGCACTATCGGCTGCTACCGCAACAATAATTGCCGCCACTGCGGCTTCACTAGCTGGAGGACACTCGAATTCACATATCAATAACAATAATAATAACGGAAATAACAACAACACTAACAATTCCAACGCTTATCAACGTAATAATAGTATCTCTCAGTACACGCCAACAACTTCCAGAGTAAGTATGGGATCATGTGGTTTTATAAATATGTATCTACTGAACAGCTTTTTGGGGGGCTAAAAAGCGGGCTTTTAATTGAATATTTAATACAAAAATGCTATTTATTTAAGATATCGAACAAATATGCGATTGTGTGTGTGAACGTGTTGGTCGTCAACAAAAACCACCGGGGACCGAGGCGATTAATGCGCTGCTCGTAAAATGAGGCGCAGTAAAGCGTAACGTTCCACCTGCGCACAAATACGGCTACATACATATCTTTAGATTGTTCATTCGTGCAGGTGATTGCCCTTGGAAACATACAAATGTATTAAATAAATTTAAAAAAAAAATCGATTTTGGAACTTTTTAAAATCGGAATTACTCAAAATGTCTCCTTAACGCGGTTGTGAAAAAGGGATCGCGCCATCTTCTTAAAATTAAAATTCCGTTTTGCATATCAGTTTTGA